TTAATCTTTGATCACCAATTCATTCTAGTTATTTGCAATATAAGCTACATGAGTGGAACAAAAATAAAACTGAAGCAACCGAGATAAATCAGTCTGCAAGAGGAAATACATAGCAAAGGTGATATTTTTCCCATGAAGAAATGAGAATGCAGTGTAACTCAGAACTATTATTTCTGTTTAAAAGACTGCACAAACCAATTTAGAGCTAAGTATTTTTCAAACACTATTTGTTGTTACTGCTAAATATGGAATATTAATGAATATTTTTCTGAAGGATAATTTAGGGTTCTGTCTCTCAAACTTACCCATGCTATGGTGCCTTGGAATACTCTATCTCTCCTGACCATGTATTCCTCATTTCTAAGATGAAAATCATACTGATGGTTTTCCTACTCACATGCAAGGATTGCTGGGTCAGAAAAATGAGAAATATATATGAGTGCAAATATAAAACATTAAATTAAATTGATTATTGTTTTTGTTAAAAATATATGGAAGAAAAGATTTCTTTGTTAACTATGAATTTTATGCATTAGAAAAATATAACAATTAGTATTTAGAGCAAAACTACTTATTTAGAAGAGAGTAGATTTAAAGTCAGTTTAAAGAAATATTAGGTAACTAAGAGTAGATGGCCTGTAAATATGGCAGAAACAGTAAAGGTGCTATGCAGATGATGATAGTTTGGGAAATGGAAGAACTAGAAGTCAAGATTCTAGATGCACTTGTCAGAGGGATCTAGCCACTTGAGAGCCTTGAAATCTCGAGCAGATAAATTAACCTACTTCTCAGTTTCCACAGTTGTTAAACCCTACCTCATAAGTTTGCTGCAAAGATTCAGGGAATTAAGATGAGTGAAGCACTTAAAATAGTGCCCACCACATAGCAGTCGCTCACAAAGTGTTGAATGTTATTTTTATTTTTTAAATTGTATACTAATTTATCCTAATAGATTATTTTCCAAATAATAGTTCAACAAGACCATGACTAGACAACTGGAGTCTCTCATATACACTTGACAGTGTGCCTTTTATTATTCTCTGCAAATATTATTTATATCATCTACAAAACTAACATACTATGATTCTAATATAATAATAGGTAGCTCAAATCACAGACTGAGAGCTTGGATTTTAGCTAAATTTATAGGATTTCTCTTTGGTTTGGTAGATCTGTGCCTCCTATGACCACTAGCCCATCCTTGTCCCCTGCTGAGTATAGACTTGGTTTATGAAGCAAAAAGACAATGTTTCATCATTTTACACATTTTTTCCAAGTTTTAATATTTTAATCCAGTTTAGATGAACACCTAAAGCTCTTTGAGATGAACAGAATTATCTGAGGGCCCTTACTTTCACTACCTTTTCCCCGTCAAGACGTTTCTATGCACTTGCTTTGAACATACTCATTGCATTCATTCCTGAAGAGTAGCTTCCTGTTTATGTGAGTTTGCAAATATTTTCAAATGAAATTTGAAATTCCAAGGTAACTTTACTGCTTTTATTGAAATTGCAGTGAATTAAAATACAATAGTTTTGACTTCATGTTATCTATTTGTGGTCTGCACTGGAGGAAATCATGTAATTACTCTGATCCTGTTTCTTACCTGTGAAGTGAAGTTAGGCTCTATCAAAGATTTTAATTCATAGTTATACAGATGGGGTCTGTCTACTTGGAGAGTGATTTATTTTCTAATCTTAAATGAAGTTTAGAATTTCCTTTATTTGTAAGCAACAATACACAGAGTAATGTGTCACCAATAGAAATCATAGACATTTTCATAGCACATTTAAATTCATGGAGATACCTTGAACTATTATTTACTATTATTATTACTTTAGAATTACATAGATGATAAACCTGCAGCTAGGCTTTGTTATTTAATGCAGTAATAAAGAAGCACATATATTACTGTATTACAGCACCAGGATTACTTAAATATGTTGATAATTACATCTTAATAGAAGTGGAATCCTTTGTAATTCTACATATATTATTTTATTTACTTATGCATTTTACTTTTAGAAAGCCATTCAGTTTCAGCAAACTAAAAGAGGGGTCCATGATTCAAAAATGTTTGGAACATTGGACTATTCGGGTGTTTCTCAAGCTCTCTAACAACTCTTGGGTCAAGATGATCTTTAATGGGCCAAACAATGCATATCATTTCTTTTCTGGCAGAATAATATGTCAAAATGATTTGAGTCTCTTTTCTTATGAAAGACTAAGGGTTACTTCCAAGTAATATTATCCAAGTTAATCGTAAAGTTTTCTACAGCTGAAGAGTCACTAACTAAATATAGTGTGATTTGAATTTGCTGAGGACTCTTGTAGTTTCCTAAGCAATCTGGCTACCATGCGATTGCTTGGCAATGTTGTGTATGTGTCTCTGAACATATCTGGAATTTTACGGTTTTCAAAAAAAGGCTACTTTTTTTTTCAGTAATGCAAAACTCTTGTCTTGAGTTGGTCATAGTTTTTATTCTTTTTTATTTTTTTTTGAAAAGATAAACAAAACTGATAAACCTTTTAAATTTAATTTAATTTAATTTTATTATTTTATTTTATTTTATTGTGACATTGGTTAACAAAATCCAGTAAGTTTCAGGTGTGCAATTTAACAGCAAAGCATATATATACTACATTGTGTGTTTACTCCCATGGTTATAGTTTTTAATTGCTGCTTATCTAATTGTATGCATAGAATTACTCTTGGATGTAATCTCTGTATCATGTCGATATTTATTTTTTTTTGTAATTGCTGCATTGTTACCATTTAATGATTTTGTTCCTTGCCCACTCTTTTGTTACTGGTAAGTTCTTTATCCACCAAATTTAAGAGCATTTGGTAGTAAGTAGACCTCAGTGTCCATTGCTCATTATAAAAATTTCTCTCAAAAATTTTGAGAATTAGAAAATTAATTACTTATATTCTTTTATTTCAGTTCAGTCTATTCTTTCCACTCTGTTCTGTTCTGTTCTGTTCTAGTCTGTTTTGTTCTGTTCTAATCTAGTCATAAGTAACAGGACATTAAATCAGAAGTTTAAGCCAAGTTCTAATATGATAAATGTCAGAAACAAATTGACCTGTGAGGCAGGAATTTTTTAAAAGTTTCAAAAGCCAATTATAGAAGGCTTATAACCCTCACCCAGCTCAAATAAATGAAAGGCCAGGTTGTTGACAGTTGAAAAGGATTATGAGGCAGATTTCTTTACTGAGCTTTTTCTCTCTTCATTTCAAATCAAGGGGAGATTGCTTCATCAGAACCTTTGGAGAGCTTAAAGTTAAGGGGATTTGGGGAATGGAGTCCAGTTCTTACATGAAAAATATAAAGAGTTAGATGGTGACAGATCAACCAAAGTAGATTTAAGCCTTTCTTCAAGTAATTTATGGGAACACATGCTCATGAGTGTTTCATGGGAATGAAATATGGCCCGCCCATATTTAGAAGGGTGAGAGTACCTCAGTAGACAGAAGCTGAGTATCTACCAACAGATTTCCTAGGGCTATAGACTTTGTAAAGGAACCAGAGTTTCATGTGACTTTGTAAAGGAACCAGAGTTTCATGTGACCAAGATGCTTAGATGTCTCTCACCATTATCCTTGGCAAAAAGTCCATGAAGAGCCCCCACGAATCGTGCTCACAAAGAATCAGCTCTAAATACCTGGCAATGGCACTAGTCAAGTAGTAAGTTTGCTGCTCCTCTCAGCCCTCTTCTCCCTTTTCTCCAGCTCAGGAGTCCAAGATAGCCATTTGAGGGAGGGCGAACAAAAAAGGAGAGAAACATCAACCATGCCCTGCCTTACCCCTCACACACACCATTTCTGGACTCTGCAATAAACCCAATGTTGGCAAGAAATCTTATCTTTATTTAAAGACTGATGTGTATTATATGTGACCAGACATTTTAATATCTGAGATCTGAGTTGAGACTTTGGCAACTTAACATGATTGCATGATGTTTTTATTACCTAAGAATGATCAAAAAGTTATGTGACTACCTGAATTTTTATCCTCAGACAAAAGATGTTTCTGCCATTGGAAAAAAAAAATATATATGTATATGTACACACACACACACACACACACACACACACACATATACATATATATATAAAAGTGAGAGACAAAATAACTTTTTTCCTCATAAGTTTTATATATTCTCTAATTTTATAACCGCAATAAAAAAATCTATTGCAACTGAGCAATACAGTCTTACAATATATGTTGAAAGATTTATCTCAAAGTTAATTGGTGCAAAGTTTAACTATTAGTATATTTTCAATCAAATTTCAGACAGAAAGAGCATTCCATCACATGTAACTATTTCCTGAAACATCAAGGTATTTTGGATAATTAACTCAGAAATTTCTGCTACTTTCTCATATAAAATTTTTTAACTAGACATTTTGCTTTATAGTTCTATTTTTAATAGATTCTCTGCAATCTTGCTAGAAATGTTGGAACATTTTCCATGCTAATGTTTTTTTTTCTTCTTCTTCTTCAAGGTTGATATAGAAGCTGAGTGTTTCTAAGATTATAAATTCCATTAGTTTGTTTTGGCAGATTATACCTTATGTTAAACGTTACATTCTATTAGATTCATTTGTTTTAAAATCATAGCAGCTAAGCAATGTGTAAAAGCCACTGATCATTAGAGAGTTTATTTAAAAGTATTTGCTTCAATTAAAAATATTCAGGAAAAACATGTATAAGTTTTACGTTTGATTTAATAGATGTTTAACATGTCTGATCTGTTTCAATTTTGTATTTCCAGATTAAATTGCAACTTCACAAAGTCATATAACCACAAGGTGACTTATTATACTCTATAAATTTGCAGGCTGAAAACAAAATATTTAGTACCTTTGGAGAAATGTGTCACAAAATCCATTGTAAAATCCAGTCTTCAACATTTTACTAATTGCTTCAGTTTCTTGACTTTATTCATTTTTTTCACAGATCTATTTTGTTTTTGTTTACTTGTTTGCTTTTTAGGTGAACCTGATCTTCATAAGAACTTAGAAGATCGTGTAAATGCCGAAGAAAAACATGCTGATACACATTCATAGGTTTGAAACACTATAAAAGGCTTCTGCCATTTTAAACATAAGAGGTAATTATATTTTTCAACAAGAAACCTAACTTCTGAAATGAATTTTTTGTAGAAGATCATTAGAAACAAAGTTATATTATTTAAATGCTCTTTTGGATTCTTTATTTAAAAAAAAAAAAACCTCTGTCTTCTAAGACGAAATCTTAAATATTATCTTTTCAAAGAGTTGATTTGCTTATAAATAAAAATTATACTTATTGAGACATTTTAGTCCTTCGAAATCAACATGCTATAGTCGATGGAGTGGGTTAATCCTGATAATTTTTTCTACTTCATGTAGGAAATATGAATATTTGCAGTGGGTGATAATAAAAAAGCAAATACATGTTATGAAGCAAATATCAATGTTTGCTAAAATCCGTGGACATTTGCATCAATGGTTCTCTTAAAAATTTAGTTTTTAGGGGTTGCCTTTGATCTATCAAATTTTTAACTCTGGGAGTGATGCTTAGAAATCTGAATTTTTAATAATCTCATCTTGATATTTCTGTACACTGAAGTCGAGAAACACTGTCTTGGCCCTACAGAGGATGCACAGGCAGTTAGAAGGGAGGGATGTGTATTTATAGTGGAGATGTCTTAGTGTCTCCTTAATAAAGTAATAAACAAATGTCAGGTGTAATAATGAGTCCTGCTGTTGGGGTAATGGTAGGAGCAAGAGGAAATACTGAGGGTACCATACTAAGCCTTCGAGATGTTATCAGTGGCTCTGATGTTGCTTTAGATATGAAAGAGTTAAAATGTGATTAGCTTTTAAGATAATTCATTTCACAGTATTCTTGAGTTGGTTATAAGACTGTCTTTTATTAATAATAATGGTTTTATGAATAGCAACTCTCAACTGTCAGGCACTATGGTGAACATCATAAATGTATTACCTCACTCAACAATTCCAGAGTTAGTGATTGTGAGTCCTGTTTTTTAATTAAAGCTATTGGGGTAACATTGGTTAATAGTATTACATAATTTTGAGTATATAAGATTATAATTCAACATCTGTGCACTCTATTGTGTGCTCACCACCAGAAGTCTAGTTCCCTTCAGTTACTCTGTATTTGACCCCCTTTGCCCACTTTGCCCTTCCCCTACCACTTCCCCCTCTGGTAACCACCATTCTGTTGTCTATATCTATGAGTTTGTTTTTGTTTGTGTTGTTAGTTCATTTATAACTTCTCATTTTAAATTCCATATGAGTGAAATCATAAGGTTTTTGTCCTTTTCCATCTGACTTATTTCACTCAGCTTAATACTCTCAAGAGCCACCAATGTTGAAAATGGCAATATTTTATCCTTTTTTTGGCTGAGTAGTTCATTATATACATATCACATCTTCTTTATCCAACCATGTGATTCCTATTATACATATGAAGTTTGGATAGAAATCAAGCCACAAAGTGGCTGTTTGACAATTAAAACTCATCTCTATATTTAACCATTTTAATGTATCATCTCATTTTAGCTACAGCAATTTGTCTCCATACTCTCTATCCATACTATGAGTTTATTACCTTTAGAGATCATAACGGTCTTAGAAGAGTCCTCAGGTACTGACAATATATGATAAAACTCTTAAAGTATATTACAGGGAAAACTAATTCAGTGGAATATTTATAGATATTTTATGTACAAAGGTTTTGTTATCAAATAAATACCATTAGAAAACTGAGTTGAATAAAATTAAGCAATATTCTTTCCTACTGGACATCTCTAAGCCAGTGTACATTATATAGCTTCAAAAGAAAAGAGCTTAAGATCAGCATTTTTAACGCATTTATGACATGGAACTGGACTATTTACTAATATTTTCCAAAAATTGGATGTAGGGATCACAGGTTATGAGCACACTTGTAAAAATGACAAGTTAAATGTACGAAATGTCTAAGGCAAAAAATATATATATTATCTGTAAGATTTTGGCATCTCATAAGTAAAAGGTTTTGATAGGATTCATTTGGCAGTTAATGAAGTCTCTTTTTCCTTTTTTCCCCACTAAAAAGCCCCCAAAGCTGGAAAAGTTTGAGACTCACCCAAACTAACCAATATTTAAACCCCAGCAAACTGCTATACAATTGTTTTTCCCCAATCAGGACCATCTAAAAATTTTAGTTTCCTTCTCAGTTTGAGAAAGCGCCGCCTTTGGTCCATAGTCTTCTAGGAATCATGGCCTTCAGTAGATAAAATTAACATACCTTCAAGGAATAGGTAGGTTTCTTAAATGAAGGAAGTGGGTGAAGTCGAAAAATAGCAGGAGTGGTGACAATTGGCAGCCATGACTCAGGCATAGTGTCTTGGAGACTATACGGATGGTCAACCTGGGAAACAGAGGCTGCAGCACACCCAGCCTGAGAGCTGCAACCGTTTGCTCTTTAGCTTGGTCAGATTTTCACCATGCAAGAGTTGAGGGCCTGGTGTTTCAAGGTGTGCCTGTTGGTTAAGAGAATTTTTTTTTTTTTTTTTTTTGGTAAAATCTTTAGATTTTTAAAGTTGGCTCAAAGTTTTCTGAAACACTGTATGGATCAAACAAAATATGTTTAAGGGTCAGATTTGGACTGTGGGTTTCCAGTTTGCAAATTTACCATACCTTCTTTGTGACCTATAGCTAATTATTTTACTGGCCTCCTTCATGGAAAATAGAGATCTATGACAGTCTGGCCACATCTCCTAAAGTGTTGCCTGCTTCCTTCCTTCCTGTATAGGTGCCAGTATGAGACATTTTCCCAGGAAATATTAAAGTGTTTTGTTTTACTTACATTTTTCTTTTATGGTTTGATTAATTAGGGTAAATAAGATTAGAGTTGGATATATAGTGCCATGCTGTTTTATTATTTAAAAAGATGCTGGCATATTATTTATCATATTATCTTCCTTGAAAGGTATGTAAGATATTTCTGGAATTTCAAAAGCAAATCAATATCAGACTATTACTCGTTGGGAGGGAAATGTTCCCTATTCTTTGTTAAGTGTACTGTCCAAGAGGAGTCAAAAACTGGGGGTTTGTGGGCTGGATTTAGTCTGTGTGTTTGCTTTTTTGACTCCCATACTGATTTAAAATATCTTTTTGGATATCTTTATGCTCTTTGGATAGGGCTTATGCTCTTTAAGTTCACTACGGTCCTTGTGACTCTAGTTGTTTTACACTCACACGGAATCACGGAACTCATTTCTGTTACTTGCCAGGCCTGTATGGCTATTTGAGTTTGTGACTTCTGATCAAAGGGATTGAAATTTTTACTGAGATTAAAACATACAAACATACAAACATACAAGCATGGAGAGAAGAAACAAAAAATAGGAATTCCAACAGGTATAAAAATAATATCTATTATATACTAATAAATCTCTTATTTTCTATAAAGTATATGAAGACCAGTATGAAATTTCTGCACAGTAATTGATGCCTGTATATGACTAAAATATGATCTTCATATTCATTTGGGTTTTATTTCAGGATAATGAGAACAGTACTAAAACATCCTAAATCCTCAACTTTCCACACAGCTATATTCTTCTCTTTCAACACATGCTTGGTTCAGGTCATTTTTAAGGACTCCTATGTAAAGAAATCATAAGACAAACATAAATTTTGAGCTAGTCACGCTGGCCAAATAAGTACACTCAAAGTTGCTATCAGAGTTTTTGGCCAGTACTTCTGCCATCAATTTTCCTCCACAATTTGGCCTTCTTCAATCAAGCCAGAGAAAACTTTGGAGACAAAAGTTGGACAGTTTTAAACTGTCGTTACTTCGAACTCAGTTATAGCATAGGTGACTGTGTAATCCAGGTGCAGAAGATGAAGCATTTTTAAAATTTACTTTCTTCCATTGTTTCACAAAGAGTGCTGTAACTACGATATTTTAAGTTCTTAAAAGGAAAGCAAAAATGAAATTATGGAAAAATATTTTTTACAGCTCTGAGGAACAGGCCATTTAGATTGTCCTTGTTACTCTAAATACATTGGAACAAAATGAGAGGCAGGGCTGTTTGGAAGCTGTGGTTCAAGGCCTACGAAAAAAGTGGAGCATCATAGCCCTGGCCCTCTGAGCTGATGAACATGTCGTCGTAACTCTAATGCTGGGAAACCATAGTGAAACCTGTCCCTGAAATCAGTGGAGCAGTCTGCATCCATCTCCGTGGCTTCAAGGCACCAGTGCACCACCTACATGGGTGACGTCACAATGCAAATCACACAGTATTTACAATCCAAGGTAACAAGAACCTTCAGCCATTATTGGAAACAGACAGTAGAACTGAGAATGGAATTTACCTTCTGGGATGTTAATCCCATTAGGAGGTAACAAGAGATAAATGACAAGAAATGTACGTACGTGTGTGTGTGTGTATTCAAAAATATCTATGAGAATGGAAGCCCACACTTTTCTGTACAGATAACATTATTTGTTGTGACTTTATATTTTACTACACAGAAACAAACTGCCACCCTTGGAGACTCTGCATCCTTGTCATGTTTTGCCTGAGCATGTGCAGAGCTTTTCCTTTGTTCCAAACTAAAGAACTACCTTTATTTGTTATTAGCTGACAAAAAAGGTCAAGCACAATTAGGTGTTGTAATTTTTCACTGTATAAACACTTCAGTGATTGTGAGACTACGTGAATTTGTTTTTGTGAAAGGTAGACATTGGGTGGAAAAAATCAAGAGTAGCCATCAATTAAAAAAAAAAATGAAGGAGGGTATGTCTGTCCTAAAAAGTTTTCTGTTGCACCTGCTTCTTTTCTGAGTTTCATAATGCTAAGCAATATTGTAGAAATGGATGCAATCAGAAGCTTTTAAGTCTAAGGAGTGGGATTTCAAAACTCACACTTAGATCTCTATTAATGTGTAAGCCATATTCTATATGCATATTAGGTATGCATCATTCTAATTTGAGATATATTTGTGCATAGACTGTGTATAAAGTGATTATGTTCTGTGAATAGGTCCTTCACTTTTGTTTCATC